CTCGTGATAATGCAACATATAGAAGCTGTTGATTATGTGTTTTATTGTATTCATATACAATTTCATCAAAAGTACCACCTTGTGATTTGTGTATTGTGAGTGCACAAGCAGACACTAAAGGAAAATGATTTCTTTTGGCAAATATGGTTTTATTTCTATTCATTGGAATAGATGAAGATCTCCTGAGAATCGGCACAGCTGCCCTACTGATATTAAGAGTTTGAATATGATGTGAAGCTTTCTTCCTAATTTTGTTACTTATCTTACCAGGAAATTCAAACCATAAACGTAGAAGTTCATCATTATCGCCACGTTCTATGTACACTAATTTTCCTACACAACCATTAGCTAAGCCATCACTTACATCAATATTAGTTATTATGTAAAATTTATTCAGAACTAAAATTATTCAGAACTAAAATTATTTCATACGGCAAACCCCCGGTATCAATAACCGATTTTTGTGAAACTGCTGACGAATGTATGATTGTTGATCTGTCGCATGGCAACCTACATAAATATCCGTGGCAGTAGATATTATTTTGTCTTCAACGAGATTCAGTATAAATTTATTATATTCCATGACACATTTATTCTTTAAGAAATGTCTTATTCCATGAGGACATAATACAGCTACCTCTTCTTTTGTAAAAAAACGTGATTCAATTAATGCAAGTTCATATAGGGTTTAGCGCTCGACTTACGCATGACATGACTCGCGCCTAAAGGATACTCGCGACATCAGCGCTTACGGCGTCGTAGTGTTCAACTTCACGTTGGCGTTTTCGTTGCATTTGTACGGATTTACACCCGTGTAGCCTAAAGAAATTTTTACACCCATATCGCGCCTAAAGAAGTTTTACTTCAAAAATTAAAAAATTTTTTTTTGTGTATTTTAATATATAATAAATAACCCTAAAAAAGTTCAAAAAGATTCAGTCATTCCTTCCCAGTTTAAAAAGTCCTCAAAAAATGGTAAAAATTAAGGCGATTACATGTATCGCCCCCCTTAATCCGTACGCCCGAAAACGTGGGCGAAAATTTGTATCCATACATACATACATACACACACACACACATCCATTTTTTCTGAGGTATGCCAAAACGTTCAGAAACCTTCAAAACGTCGAGAAATGTAAAAAATTTCAATTCCGATTTTCGGCCCATTAGAATAACTTACCCTACGGGAAGTTAATACTTGTAAGTAATCTCCTAAAAAGTATATTAATGTATGTGAATCATATCACCTAATATTATATTTAAGATTGCGATGAGGCCAAAAGGATGTTTGATCATGCTGCTGGGGGCAGCATAGAGCCCATGTTGCATTATGAAGTTAAGACAGCTTGAAAAAACAGAATTGGAGAAACTCATTAAAATTGGATACAAAAATCCATCTGAATTCTGAACAAATGTGTGCAAGCATAGATAGCAAGCACTAATCTGTAATGGACAGGCTTGATAACAATGCTGCTAGAGTAATATATATATATATATATATATATACACTGGCATGTAATATATATGTAATATATATCTCATGTTCAATTCAATTCAGTTTAAACCATTTTATTTTCAGGCTTCTTTAACAGATTGTTTAGACATACCATGCAGAGCAGTAAGTAAACCCAATGCAAATCAAATAAAGAGTTGTTATGTTGATATTATTAATCTAAAATTTTAGATTCCACATCAGTAGTTAATAGGGGACCAACGCCAAATGAAAGGCTTCTAATTAACACTTGTAAGTAATCTATTAAAAAGTGTACTAATGTTACATATAATATCACCTAATATTATATTTAAGATTGTGATGATGGGAATATGATGTTTGACCATGGTTCTGGGAGCAGCACAGAGCCCATGGAGGGGTACAAAAGTGAGTTATTTCATTACATTAATTATATCAATGTTAATGTACATTATGAAGTTGGGACAACTTTTCGCCTGATTATACACTGGCAGTGTACAATAAATTTCCGGTGTCGACGGAGGCAGAACTGCAAAATGTGGAACAGCTATTGACAGATGCGTCAATAGCAGAAAAATTGGTAAATATGATGTTCCTCAATGGATAAAATGGACAAATCAATTACATATACTGTATCATTTATAGAAAGCACGCCTAGAACGAATTGGTGGCGTAGCCTGTAAAAGCGCTACCACATCCCTTTTAAAATGGTATTTAAGAATGTGGTAGCAAAGGAGTACAGCTGGGATGGAGGCAAAGCAAAAAAGAATTTTTCGGCCCTCCTAATAGTAAAAATAATTATAAGTATTAATTAATACATTAAATCACTTACTTCAAACTATTTATTATTTAAACAAATAATTAATTGAACCAATAATGTTTTCAGATATGTTATCTGAACAACAGCGTGTGACGCAGAGCCAAGTTGAACAGTGTGTCAAGGGATGGCTGCGTCATGTCCATGACAGATTTGTCCGAAATGCTCCGTAAGTTGAAATATATTCCAGATATTTCCAAAATGCCAATTAACATTATTTATTATATAAAATAAACCTGTAAAACTATAGTTTATAATAATTCAAAATTTGTTCTTTCCAGTGCTTTAGAAGGTGATGAACCCAGTGTGAATAATGATAATGATAATGAAAATAATTAAAATAAAAAATTAAATAATTACTTTAAATTTAATAATACTAGATAATAAGATAATGATAAGTTTTAGGATGATGATTACCAATGATTTAGTTAAGTTTTAGTAGTAGTAACTTTAATTTAGTTATTTTTAGTAGTGTAAATAAAATATCATTTAATAAATATGTTACAATGGAATTGCAGTTTTAGTTCATTCAATACTTATAATTATATGAATTATTTATTACAAATACGCACGGAAAGTATGCAACCATTATTGCACTATATATCGCCATTTTAACCCATGGCAATACCATTCCAGTCCCATAGCATTGAACCCGTCGGGTTGACCATGAGTCAAACCATGGCTCTGACATAAGTGTCGCCATGGGTTAACCTATGTTCATATATGGTACCAGTGGGTTGACCATGGGTTAACCCTACAGCCCATTGTGACCCTGTGTCAACCATGTGCTGTATGGGTTAGGAAGTATGTATTTCGCAAAAAATATTCTTAAACTATTTTAGATACTGGTTAGTTTTTGGTGAAGATCGAATTCCTTCTATAAAATATTTTATGTTGATAGATATAATGGTTCTAAAGAATATACTAAAATTTTAGGACCCTACGACAAGTCGTTTAATTTAATTAAACCTATAATCATCAAAGTTTGAAATAATATTAAAAAATTGTGTCAAAGATTTAATTGAAAGCAAAAACTTTATTTTCAAAATAAACAGTTGAAAATTTTATCTAAATATCAAAATTTTAATTTTGGTTGATTAATTTAATTATTATACATGTCGGGAAATTCATGCGCAAGTTGCCTAAAAGCAAAATGCAATTTCATTTATTATGAATATATTTTATGGCAGTGTTATATTTTGAATTGTAGTTGTTTTATTTCTATGTAACTTTATTAGCATATTTTAATCCTTTTCACTCATAGCTTGCAAAACTAATACTGATTATGTCGCCTGATTAAATTATAATTAAACTAAATTATAATTATTTCTAGTAAACCTACAATCAATGCAAAACCGCTCCGATGTTGACAAATCACCAGCAAGAAAGAGGAAAACAGTAAAATTCGAGCAAAAGTTAACTCCACAGTGTGTTAAGTGCGCTGTAGAACATTACACCCAAAAATGTTTATGGAAAGGCAAAATTAACAAGAACGTCAAGTGCGTACTCCGCGGTCAAAATCACCCCACAAACTACAGGGGATGACAAGTCTACAAGGAAAAGCTCAATCGAAAATTCCCTCCGTTACGACAGAGACTACAACCAACAATCCTAATATTAACAGAAATTCTGCAGTAATTCAAGTCTTATCTTACGCGCGAATTACTAGCCGAAACACAAACACAAATACAACACAAGAAATACCAAGCAGCACGAATCAAGTAATCGAGAGCAATGCCAAAGATATCTCTGAACTTCAAACTATCCTGGAAACATTATTCGAACAGATGGGCACTATACTTAATTTTTCAACTACAATTTTAATATGAACTTCCCGATATGTTTAAATGATCGACTTAATCAATAAAAAATAAATAAATTTATTATGAGTGTTTAAAAGTATTCCGAGTGCATTTATTACACATAACTGAAATCAAATGAACACGTTAACTTGGAGTATTTTCTAACAGCAAATTTTCAAATATCAATAATTTTTATAATTGAATCAGTTTCCATAGGACTTTAATGGTTTAGTATGTTCATTAACCTTAAAAAAGTCGCCCGAAAAAATGGCAAAAACACAAGTTTTCTTTTGGATGCTATAGTGGTGTGACCCCTCAACTGCTGTTGAATTGACAACTGAGGAAAGTTATTTAGCCTTAGGAACAAGCTGAGGCAGTTGCTTCTGGTGATGTATCAGCTGATTTGGCTAACATGAAACCAGGGCCAATTGCACATTATTCATCAATAATTATTATTCATCAATAATAAAAAATATATTCTGATAAAGTAACTCAATTCATAACATTCTTAAATTATTAGGTACATTTTATTGTGGAGCACAACTGAGGTAACATGCAACATGTTAGAATCAAAATCAGGTACATGTTCTCAACTTAAAAACTATGAGTTAAACCCAAAATAGACAAATGCTAACAAGACTTTTCCTTCTATGCTCTTAGCATACAAACAGAAAAAGCTAGATAAATTTTACTAGCTAGACAAGTTTTACAAAGAAGAAAACATCATAATGTATGCTTTTTTTCTCAGGGTGCAATTATCAAAAGTATTATTCACTATTATTTATAAAAATATTTCATATTTTAAATATAATTTTGGCAATTTTATCACTTAGAGCATAGAACTACATTTGTATGTAACATGTACATTTTGTTCCTTTTAATACTGATAACAAACCAAACTTTTGATTCGCTAAAAAATAAGTAGACTTCGATGACGTTTGGCAGGTGGTTCTATTATATCTAGACAATTTTCAGGACAAGAATTATTACAATGTTCATTTATTGAATCTTCCAAATCAGAAACAGTAATTTCCTGTTTTTCATTTTCCTGATTTAATAAATTATTGTAACGCTTAATAACATCGGGATCCTGTAACCATTTATGATTAAGAACTTCGGAACTGCTATATCTAGTTTTTGGATCTACTTTTAACATTTTAGAAATTAAATCTTTGCATTCAGCACTAACCGAAGACCAAATACATTGTTTGAAAGAGTATTTTCCTTTGCAAATTTGATCAGCTGCTGAGAAGGGTAAGCATCCACAAAGACAAACAAATAATATTACACCTAGACTCCAAACATCAACTTTTTCAGTATAAGTTTTATAATTCTTTAATATCACTTCGGGAGCAACATACCATGCAGTACCACATTCAGTTTTTAACACTGTGTTACCTTCAACAATTTTACTTACTCTGATAGTTTGATAGTAACAATTCTCTGATAGTATTTCTTTGTAACGGAATATTCTCAGGTTTTAAATCTCTATGTGTAATGTTCTGCCGATGTACGAGTAAGTAATTAACAGCAACAGCTATTTGGTATATAATATTCTTAACAATTGGTTTTTTCAGATATTTTGACTCTTTAATTTTATTATATAAATCACCTCCATTCATAAGTTCCAATACCAAAAATACTGCTTCAGGAGTTTCAACAATGTTGTAGACACTAACTATGAATGGATGATCTAATTTTTTCATAATATTAATTTCATTCATAATACGATTAGGATGGTTTAATTTCTTTTCATCATCTGCTTTACTCTTGATGATCTGCTTCATAGCAAATTTATCACATGTCCTTTTGTTAAATATTAATCTCACAACACCACATGCACCGCTTCCAAGCTCACGAGAAATGTAGTAGTCATCTTTGATGAGATTTGGGATTTATGCACAGTATGCGTGAAACGATCAAAAAATCTAAACAATTTTCTGAAATCACTACCTATTGCTATAACATCTTCATTTTGCAATATTCTTCGGTTTCCTTTGCCAACTTTTTCACCATTTATGAATGTTCCATTTCGAGAAAAATCTTCTAAATAAAAAGGAGAATTCCTACTGTCTCGTTTAAGTTTAAAATGTGTCCTAGATATAAATTGTAGGTGTTCAACAGACATTTCGTCTGTAGTTAAATTTATGTCACAATTTTCTCTGCCAACTGCATACTCCAATTTTGAAAGATCTACGATAAAACATTATTGATATTTGAGAAAACCAACAAGCATGCAAACAATTGTAAATCATCTTCCATTCTTCCAAACATTTTGGCTGAGGCTCACAAAGGCTAGTAGGTATTGAAGTGACTAAAATTCCTGTCCACGCTCAGGGAACTAAAAGGCATGTTCGACCACTCTATACAAAAGCAATAACGCTTCGTGAACGCATTGCTGAATTTGAATACTGTTCTTTGGCACTTGATAAAAGTTGTGACATTAGCGACACAGCACAACTCGCTATATCTATACGTGGTATTGATACTGAAATCAATATTAATGAAGAGTTTTGTTATCTGGTTCCTATGCAAGGGATTACAACCTCTTAAGACCCTTATAACAAATTATGAAAAAAATTCAATAAAAAGTATATCAACAGATAATTCAATAAATTAGTATATCAATGGGTGGTGCCCATCTGCACCACCAGCAATATCAATGTAGAAGTAGCGGAAAGACTTTACCCAAACATTAACACAGGAAAAGAAATATTTGGTAACCACTGGATAAATCATCGAGAAAGTTTGTGTGAAAGAAATTAAATTTACTTCATGGTACAGCACCAGTAATTAAATTACTAAATTTCATGAAGTCACAGGGGTTCAAATCACTATGAGTTCAAAGAATTCCTAAGCAATTTGGAAATCATAGCAATGTTATCTTCAATACCAAAGTACACTGGCTCAGTAGAGGTGCAGTGTTGAAAAGAGTTTATGAACTTTAAAGCGAAATACAATTGAGAAATACAATAGAAAAAGGTAAGAAAAGCATACAACCGCGTCTTTTCAGCAATAAAATCAATCCAGGAAATTAAAACCAACATCAAGCACTAGAGCTTGTGAAGATGGTGGTACAAATTCTATTCTCAGGATGGGTCCATCTAATAGAAACTGTTTGATTAAATTGGCATTTCAGAATATATTGAATATGACAATAGTAAGTACAGCATGAATGGCTTTGAGAAAGTCTGCGAGAGAAGTTTGTTGATTTTGCTTTGGTATTCAGCGTTTAAAAAATTCGAGGATATTTCAAACAATCAGTGGCATACTTCTTCGCTGAAAGCAATGTTAAAAGTTCTGAACTCAAAGGCCTGCAATTTCAAACCGGCAAGCAATTGGTATCAATATTGTAGCTACCGTATGTGATGCACACGAAAGAGATGTATCTGCAATAAACATGTTGTCTAATTTACAAACTTCAGGGTTCTCTTGTTGGCGAGCAAGAAACTGAAAGCCTATATGATCCTCCACATCAACTGAATTTTTTTATCATATGTTGTAACTTTCATACAACAAAATCAACAGAAAAGGACATCCTGAAATCGTATAATCAAATTGAATGAAATTGATTCAAAGTTGCCACTTTTCCGCATGCGCTGTAATTTGCGATCACATAAGGTATATACTGAAAAGATGAGGAAGATGAGAGTGAGGGACTGCCGCAGAGTTCTCTTATAGATATACGCTACTAAGCAAAGTAAGAAAGTAAAAATAATGTAAAATGTATTCTATTGAATTCATAATTAAAATTCATCATTCACAATAAGCTTCCAGTTTTGCAAAAAAAAACTGTAAAGCTCTATGAAGAGCTCTCTATTTCTCTCTAGCCGATTCTAACCATTAAGCATTTTGTAAAGAAGCTAGACGTGTCTTAGCTTCTTTAAAAAAGACGAGAAGATAAAAAACTCTCTAAACTATTCAAAATTGGATTAAAACAATAAAAGGTTTTTAAAATATTGGCAGTAAAAATAAAGTATCCGGAAATTAAGTTTTAGTCAACTAGTTATTTAAACCATGACGAGAAGATCAAAACTATCTCCAACTATTCAAAATTAGATTAAAACAATAAAAGGTTTCTAAAATATTTGGCAGTAAGATAAAGTATCCGAAAATTAAGTTTTACTCAACTCGTTATTTAAACCAAGACCCTCTAGAATTTATTTTTGTTTGTATTAGACGGAATTAATAATCGAAATGCATCCATTCCATTTTTAACTTCCCGAAGGAGAAGTTTATGTTTTCATCAAAAAATGCGAATCGCTAATTTATGTTTTCTCGACGTTCCAAGCCATTCTGAATCGAATGAGACCAAATTTGAAAAACTATGTGTGTGTGT